AATACTCCTCCTCCTCCAAGTACTACTCCTTCCGCTTCTAACACTACTCCTCCTGCTACATATACTAATACTACTAATACTCCTCCTCCTCCAAGTACTACTCCTTCCGCTTCTAACACTACTCCTCCTGCTACATATACTAATACTACTAATACTCCTCCTCCAAGTACTACTCCTTCCCCTTCTAACACTACTCCTCCTGCTACATATACTAATACTACTAATACTCCTCCTCCTCCATAGTACTACTCCTTCCCCTTCTAACACTACTCCTCCTGCTACATAAACTAATACTACTAATACTCCTCCTCCTCCTAGTACTACTCCTTCCCCTTCTAACACTACTCCTCCTGCTACATATACTAATACTACTAATTCTCCTCCTCCTAGTACTACTCCTTCCCCTTCTAACACTACTCCTCGTCCTACTTCTCCTCGTGTTACTCTACTCTGTTAGTACATTGCCATGGCTCTTGTTAGGTTCATTTCAGATTTACCGTGTCGCTTTCTTGAGGAAATTAAAACATGAGCAGGCTGATGAGAGGTTAATTTATTTATTTTTTTATTCTTTTTTCATCTTCCAGCGATTTTATCTTTACACTTTCTGGAAAGTTACTCTTGCACTTTACCAGCTCCGGCGAGTCGCTTTGGATAAAATCATACTCGGGGGGGGTAGGGGGGGGTAAATGTGACTCTGTTTAGCTCAGCGTCTGCTTTGTGATCAGTGAAGTAAGAAAATAACACCTGATCCCAGACCAGCTGTCACTCCTGATTCATTGTTTTTGCCCTTCAGACTATCGTCGGGGAAAACGCCATCTCTCATGACGTATCGAAATAAAGTCCGGCTCAATGGCTTGTCCCCATCTCTAGCCCACAAATCAGAGGAAATGTTTGTGTGCAGGAGCAAAAAAAAAAGGGAACGCATCATTTACTTTTCCCTCGACTTCAAACGACAGAGAGGCTTTCAGGTCTATTATCGCGAGCTGCCGTGTGATCAATGGCTGTTTGCCTGGATTTATATATTCGGTTAAACAGGCTCAGGCTGCACAGTAAAATAAATAATAATAATAAAAATAAATAAGTGTGCCAATTAAAATGAAGGATCCAGGCATGTACCAATTAAGGACGGAGACGGGGTTCTAACGAAGCCAAGGTTTAGAGAGAGGGAGTATAAATCCAAAAATTTGCCGCACCTCTTTTACTTGAGCTCGTGCCAGGAAGTTGTAAAAATAATAAACAGGGCTCACTTTTTTTGCCCAACAGCGTTGTAATTTCCTCAGCTCATTCCCACAGCCGGGGCTGTTGCCTCTGCAATATGTTACACCGTAATGGCCACTGTTGGAGTGCGAAAACCTCCGAGTTGTGAGTGGAGACGCTCATTAATTGCCAGTCACCTGCTTTTTCTCTTCTCCTCTGCACACATTATGGCTGTGACTGGAGGGAGATGATGATGAGGAGGAGGAAGATGCACCCGTGGGTTCACTGGACAAGAGCTAAAGAGTTTAGTCAAAGCTGAGTGCAAAAGTTTGTACACCTGGGGATTTTAACTGCAAAAGGGTCAATTATATTTATTGCAACAACACAAAAAGGTCAGTTTTGCGAGCACTGATCTGTAAAGAAAGAAATAATAATAATAATAATAATAATAATAATAATAATAATAATAATAATAATAATAATAAAAAAGGCAGTGTGTGTTATAGTTTATATCACAGTGTTGATCAAATTGTTCTTGATAATACAGGGGACTGGTATGATAGGCGCTCCAGGTAAACGTTGTTGAATTGATGACATTTTTCTGCGAGTAGACATTTACACGACATTTATGGAAGGAGTCTCCAGTGTCAGTCAGAGGTAAAGTTGTAACAGGACAGTCGCATAACAAGCTGCTGTTTTTTTGGGGGTTTTTTGTCGTGAAATAAATAACAGGTCGGTGAGAGAAGAACCGTACTCCGTTTTTAGTTCATAAAAAAAATGATGTGGTTGGTAGATTGCTGTGGTTGAAAAAAAGAAAAGGATTAAACACTCCAGAATGTGCTGTTTATGTTCAAAATAATCTGCTTATTTCATTGTACACGGTAACTCTGCTTTTGTTCATTTCCTATAACAGCACTCCCTGAAGTGTTGTATTGCTGGTATAACAAGGACGTAAAGAGGAAAGCTGTGCAAACTTTAAGGCACACTATTTGGCAGTGGAAAAGTTCGGGGGGGGTTTTTGACTCAGGAAACCTTTGCAGGTGTTTCGAGTTAATTCACCGATTAGAGTCATCTGAGGTCGACATTTCTGTATTCTAAATTCTTTATTCTAATATTTTGAGAGACTGGATTTTTGATTTCCGTGAGCTGTAAGCCGTGGTCGTCGAGATTAAAACAAACAAACAAAAAAAACAGGCTTGAAATATTTCAGTTTATGTGTAACGAATCTAGAATATATGAAAGTTATACGTTGTTTTATTATTATTATTATTATTATTATTATTATTATTATTATTATTATTAAATAACGGGAAAAATGAACTTTTCCGTGACATTCTAATTGTTTTGAGATGCACCTCTATTACGCAATATTATATTCGGAGGAACGTGCGATTTTTTTCCAAAATTACCGCAGATTTTCCGCAGATTCGGGCCGAGGCGCGTCACGTGACTTCATCACGACGTCGAACATGAGTACAGCTAAAAGGTCTCGTTTGCCAACAAACATCACAGTGATGGAGAGCGTGTTTGCACAACTATTTCATGCGATTGCAATTTCGCCAACTCAAGCGGTTTTCGAGAGAGAAAAAAAGCGACAAAAACGACACAAATTTTGCGAAATCAAGCATTTTGCTGCAACAATCACACACGAAAAACCTCTGTAACATCCTGTACGGACCGACCTGACCATTTTTGCTACATGTGAGAGGTGAAACTTCAGTACCACCAAACATTCGTCTTTTTTACTTTATGGCTAACAGGCGTGCAAACCTTTACACTTTTACACCTGTATTTACGTATTGATGGACTTGGTGGACCTGTTCTGCACTGATCTCTCCCAGCACGCATCAGAGAATTTAAGATTTAATTGGAGGAGCTTGCTGAAGACTGGAGAAGCGAACCCGTCTGTGGTGCGAGTCCCGTCTCTGCTCTACCCTATAACTGTTAATGACCTGCACGTTAATCTTTTAAATAAGACAGGGCATACAATTCGCCAAATAATTCTGCATTTGAACCTTTGCGTATGACCTGTCACTCAAAACAACGAAGATACGCCCTTAGAAGTGATCTCTCAGTGCAGGTGAACAACACGGAGTGATAGGAGTGAGGTTACGCCCAGCTCATGTGATTATATGAATGACACATTTCATCAAGGATGATGCATGTAAGATGATCAGTTATAACGCTTATCCAGATAGAATATCTGAAGATGAAGGTCTTATATAAATAGAAATATTTATTTACATCAGGATCTGAAAACACGGTCGTCTATCATGAGTTCCTGTCAGCTCCAGATCAAGCCACACCCTCAGGACGCTGATTTATCCTCCATTTTACATCACAAAGATGTGTGTATTAAATAAATACATTTCAACTTCAAATTATCACAGGCTCTCAACCAAGTCTTGACCCCTAACCCTTCCACTGTGACACACAGTTTACCTGCACACTGAGCCACCAGAGCAGGATTGCTACCGGCGCTCAGTGGAAATCCTGGACACAGGTGGCGTGAAGGTCCATATTCAGGATAAATTCTTCCAAAACAGCTTTGTTTCCAGCGTGGCTCTGTGGCGTTGAGGATGCGCCGTAGTCCTGCAGCGCAGAGGGTCGTGCTTCAACCCTCACCTTGTTCCTTTATTTCCCAGTTACATTACTGCTGTTAATGATAAATATACTGAGGCAAACGAGCTCAGTCAGCAGCAGTAGCTCAGCAGGATAGTGTTAGGGTTCGAGTCTCAAGTGAAGATGAAAACTAATTTGTTGAGCTTGCATGAAGAAAAGAAGGGGCTTATGTTGACAGACATATCACCTTGTAATTTAGAAAGTAGATAGAAATACAGTAAAAACATAAGTGGTAGGAAATGTAGTATAGCAGAAGATATACAGTAAGAAATAGCCCAGAACAGCATAACCCCTCCTTCCACCTCTCCAGGAGCCCCAGGTGGGACATACTCTCTCTCACTTTGGCAGATTTAGTGCCCCAGCAGGTCCCAGCACCTTCAGCTCACCAGAGGCGGTCTCGAACCTGTGTGCTTGCAGGAACAGCCCAGACCTTACCCCCAGCCCACTGGGACATTTATATGTTACTTGGCATCACATTTATATAGACAGGAACGTGCGCTTATAACGAAAACAAAACACCTAAACCCCACCTCGAACCCTGAGTGACCCGGTGAGACCCAGTGAGACACACACACCCACAAACTAACCTGCCTTCCTGCTCACGGAGGCACCTGAGCAGCCCACAGACATGGAGCTGTTTTAGCGGCACTTATCCTTCATGTAGGAAATACTCCCAGGTGATTTGGGGAAAATGCTGAAAAAGGAACAATATGTCGTAGCTGCAGTGGTTAGGTCATCAAATCATGGTTTAGGGGATTCTGGTTCAATCTTGAGTTCAGGTTGCTGTGTATATTCTCTCACTACCCAGATTAGAACGGAGCGTGTACTGAAAATGGAAGAATTTCAACGATGTCTTGTCTTACCAAAGTAAAAATTCCGATTCTTTATCAGTGCATATCACAGATGCTGAGATGCTGTGACATCACTATTCGAATAACAAGCTGACCAAACACACAATTGAGTGCAGGGGAATGTTTGAAGTAATCTCATAATTGCAAAAAAATCGCCATCATGGGAAACATGTAAGACTACATGTAAAGTCTGGCAGTAACTGAGATTTCCAGACTTGCTAATCTTCACAGATATTTTGTACTCACATTAGACGCTTATATACTCAACATCAGTTAATTATATTTATTAGCGAAATATTTTTAGCTGAAAACTGACTCCATTTGGAGGGCTGCACGGTGGCTTAGTGGTTAGCACATTTGCCTCATATCTCCAGGGTCCAGGGTTCAAGTCCCTCTGTCCTGCGAGTCCTGTGATGGACTGGCACACTGACCAGGGTGTACCCCGCCTTGTGTGTGATGCACCCAGGGATAGGCTCCAGGTTCCCCGTGACCCTGAAAAAGAGTAAGCGGTAGAAGATGAACTAGATTTGGCCGTTTCCATGACGGACATTATACAAGAGATTTATAAAAGGACTATATTGATGGGTTTTTTGTCCCTGTTTACTGCATTGTAACTTCATGATATATAAAATGAACAATCGTGAGACAGTTCCTAATAACACAGGTTTTAATAGTGGCCTCAGACGTTTGGAGCCTAAACCCCGAAGCCCCTTCAGGGAAACTCGGGCATGAATGGATAGTGCGTTTGTAAGCAGGAACGTGTGACTTCTGATCTGAGATTCTGAGACCACTTTTTGGTTTTTTTTGCTTCCTATGACAGCAGTTAAGATTGTTATGGAGCAGGTGGAGGCGAGGAGCGTCTCGTTCCCTGCCGCTGATCGTCTGTCAGGACACTGCGACTGTCAGACGGAGCATCGCTGAAATGAACAGTCACAGAGGTGGTGCTTATAATCCGCTGTAAGAGTTGAAAGCTGTCTCTACTTGCAGTCACACTGCATCCTGTATGAGCCGGCTAATGCTGATGAATATGCAAGGTTGTGTAAATGAGCATCACATAAGAAAGACAAAAAGAAGAAGACATTTATCGTGTATACGTCCATTCGTAGGGTTTTTTTTTTTGGGGGGATTTAGAGACAGTTGGGGCAATTCGAGCACTACAATGCTATAAATATAAAGACTTCGCATAACTACCTGTAGATGAGGTTGATAAGTGGAAGAGAAGCCCATAAAAAGAGAAATGTTTCAGAACCGTATAAAACTGATTTGCAGTGGAGTGGACTCAAGCCAAGCCAAGCCATATATATATATATATATATATATATATATATATATATATATATATATATATACACTACTCTATAAGTGTTCGACAGTGCGTGTTCATACTCCGACTCCAGCACTGGGAATTTCGAGTGGCACGGACTCGCCTCACCCTGCAGCGCTGCCCCACAGCACATTATTACTCCATTTCTGTGCGTTTAATTGGCTGTTAAACTCACCCAGTCATCCTCGGGCTTATCCACAAGGGGCTTATCCGAGTTCAACTTTTTTTTCCGTCTTCTTCTTTTTTTTTTTCTCCGTCTGCTGAAAAACACCCACTCGGCTGATCAAGGCAGAATTGTCTTCAGCTGACTTTAATGAGCTGAATCAGGTACATGGGTGAGAAAGTGCAAACACGACCTCTGACCCACACACAGGCTCTCAGGAAGGAGGGGGGCGATCTTGAGTAACACTGGACTACAATCAAAATAACAAAGCCTCGATTTGCTCAAGTGTAATCGCCGACTCTGGGGTCAGCGTCTAATACAGAGTCCCGGGCCCCGGCATCGGATTTTGTCCGCTCTAACACACTGTATTACCCATCAGCGGAATTACTGAGGCTTAACGAGTCCGATAATTATGAAGGTTGGAGAGTTAGCGAGAATCGAGTATATTGGGCAGTTGTTTTTGTTTAATTGTTTATTAAACTGCTGTCCTTTGTCCAAGATAAAGTATTCCTTCTGTTCATTTCCACCCGTGTCCTCTTTCTTTCTTTATTTATTTATTTATTTATTTATAGCAGAGAGATGATCTGAACTTTAGTGTTTAGGTGTAATTTTTCGTGTATTCAGCGCCCCGCCGTGACTTGTGCTACACACACACACAACACACACACACCTCGGCCTCGGCACAGATGGTGCAGGAGTTTAGGGTCCGCCGTGAAGAGAAAAGCTTCCCAGATCTCAGAGGTAGAAACACACAAGGACGTTGGTTTGGCTATAGCTAGAGTCGGTCATAGCTGTGGACGAAACAACGTTCTGAAAATCTGATACACCAAACCTCCTCTCGTCTATCACCTCTCGTCTACCGCACTTTTTTTTATCATCTCTTCCTCCCTTCTTCCTTCAGGCATCCCCACCATTATTTCAATTTTGCTACAGGCTTTTTTTTTTCTTCTTTTTTTTTATAGTCATAGTGCTCATCCTAGAGTTCCAGTGGTGTGAGAGACAGACGTGATCGAAAGTAGTTGTTACTGTAGAACAACTTCACTTAGTAATTACATTTTAAATAAATTAATAAATAAACATACAAGTCCATACTTTTTTTTTGTAACCTGATCGAAATAATCAAGATGGTCGAGGTTTTCATCGAGGCTGAAATGGTGCCGGAGTGAAACAGAGCACAGTGAACATGTGTGTAGCTCTGATATGTGTACTGATCTTTTTGTGTGTGTGTGTGTGTGTGTGTGTGTGTGTGTGTGTGTGCAGAGGGCGGGACGTGTGAAGTGATCGCAGCCCATCGGTGCTGCAATAAGAACCGCATCGAGGAACGCTCACAGACGGTCAAGTGCTCGTGTCTGCCGGGAAAAGTAGCAGGGACGACACGCAACAAGCCCTCCTGCGTGGACGGTAAGAGCTATGACATCACTTCCTGCTTCTTGCAGGGGTGTGCTATCATGTAAACGTGTGAATATGTTTCAGCGAGAGCTTGGGGCTGCTTAATGATCCAGGGAGGCTGTTTATATATTTATATACATATATATACACCAAGTTCATTATTGTCCTAACAGACTCTTAACGCAGACAACATACAGACAGACACTCCACACAGACGACTTACACACAGACTCTACACACAGACCTCTACACGACTCTATACACACACACCGCAGACTCCACACGCGACAGACTCTACACGCAGACTATACACAGACTCTACACGCCAGACTCTACACGCTACAGACTCTACACGCAGACTCTACACACAGACTCTACACACAGACTCTACACACAGACTCTACAGACAGACTCTACACGCAGACTCTACAGACAGACTCTACACGCAGACTCTACACACAGACTCTACACGCAGACTCTACACACAGACTCTACACACAGACTCTACACACAGACTCTACAGACAGACTCTACACGCAGACTCTACACGCAGACTCTACACGCAGACTCTACACACAGACTCTACAGACAGACTCTACAGACAGACTCTACACACAGACTCTACACGCAGACTCTACACACAGACTCTACACGCAGACTCTACACACAGACTCTACACACAGACTCTACAGACAGACTCTACAGGCAGACTCTACACGCAGACTCTACACGCAGACTCTACACGCAGACTCTACACACAGACTCTACAGACACACTGCACACGAGACTCTACACGCAGACTCTACACGCAGACTCTACACACAGACTCTACACACAGACTCTACACGCAGACTCTACACGCAGACTCTACACGCAGACTCTACACACAGACTCTACAGACAGACTCTACACGCAGACTCTACACGCAGACTCTACACGCAGACTCTACACGCAGACTCTACACGCAGACTCTACACACAGACTCTACACGCAGACTCTACACGCAGACTCTACACACAGACTCTACACGCAGACTCTACACGCAGACTCTACACACAGACTCTACAGACAGACTCTACACGCAGACTCTACACACAGACTCTACACGCAGACTCTACAGACAGACTCTACACACAGACTCTACACACAGACTCTACACACAGACTCTACACACAGACTCTACACACAGACTCTACACACAGACTCTACAGACAGACTCTACACACAGACTCTACACGCAGACTCTACACACAGACTCTACACGCAGACTCTACACGCAGACTCTACACGCAGACTCTATGGACAGACTCTACACACAGACTCTACACACAGACTCTACACGCAGACTCTACACGCAGACTCTATGGACAGACTCTACACACAGACTCTACACACAGACTCTACACGCAGACTCTACACACAGACTCTACAGACAGACTCTACACGCAGACTCTATGGACAGACTCTACAGACAGACACTACATGCAGACTCTACATGCAGACTCTACAGACAGCCAGACTGTGCTGTTGTGTGTGCAGGAAATCTGCTGCCACGGCGATGTGCCGTCATCGCTGTGCTTTTAAACCATTTATTCAAATCTTATGCAAATGCAACTGGCCCACTGAGACCTCGGAAAATAAAGTTAACCTTTACTGAACCCACTAGCCAGTAAACACAAACCGTGTGTGTCTCATAAACAGTGTGTGTGTGTGTGTGTGTGTGTACGCGCGCAGGAAAAATGTTCAAAAGCCTATGGCTAAAAAATATACTAAAGCGAGCGATAGATATAAAGATTCTGTTGAACTTTGAAGGCGACACCAGAGAAAAGCATTAATTCTGCAGGACTCTAGATTTCCTTTGTGTGCGTGTTGAATATAAAACTCGCACCTGAGCTCTCGGCACTCGCCAACCACGCGCCGTGATACGCCCGTGTTTCTGCAGTCACACTCCACTTCAGTACACGCTGCTCATTAAATCCGTAACATCCACAGGTTTATCGGCTAAACTGGGGCTTTATTCTGAAACTTGTCTCAAGCCAGCAAACTGTACTCGTCCTCAAACCCATCAAAGTTCTTCTCTTTATTTATTCTTCTGTTTATCTGATTATTTTAGCAGTGTTGAACTCAGACACACAACAGCAGCTCTGGTGCGTTTAAAACCATGTGTAGTTGATATGCTGAAGATTGCTCTGTTTAACATGGATTTTAGGGAAGGAGTCTCCAGTGTCAGCACTTTGTAACAGTTAACTGACAATCTCAGAGTGAGAGAGAGAGAAAGTGTGTGTTGTGTGTGTGTGTGTGTGTGTGTGTGTGTAAATACTGCGAGAGAGAGAGAGAGAGAGAGAGAGTGTGTGTGTGTGTGTGTGTGTGTGTGTGTGTGTGTGTGTGTGTGTAAATACTGCAAGAGACAGAGAGAGAGAGAGAGAGAGAGAGAGAGTGTGTGTGTGTGTGTGTGTGTGTGTGTGTAAATACTGCAAGAGAGAGAGAGAGAGAGTGTGTGTTTTTTGTGTGTGTGTGTGTGTGTGTGTG